AGCAGGGACAGGGACAGGTCCACTCTGTCACTTTGCTCTTAGCCTCAGTTTCCCTGAACTGGAGCTGGAACTTCTGCACCATGGGCCTAGATGGGTGCTACACAGGGGCCCCTAAAGGGGGACAGAAGGGGACCCTAGTCCTGGTCCTGTTGTCTCCAAGGGGACCCCCGGCTGGGATGTTCCCTGCTCCAGTCCTGCAAGAAGTTGTCCCTGTCCTTCGTTTGTTCGTTGTTTCGAGTTATGCAGTCCAGGCTGGACTTGAACTCACTAGGTTCCCCAGGCTGGTCTCAAACTCTCCATGATCCTCCTGCCTCAGCCTCCTGAGTGCTGAAGTCACAGGTGTGCGCCACCACCCCAGGTCTTCTCAGAAAGGTGGGGGGGTAGGAGGTGCCACCCACCCTGCACGCCTAACGGCCTGAGACAAGGGGCGATTTTATTTATTTATGGTACTGGGAATCAAACTCAGGACCTCGTGTTTGCCCAGCTGAGCTACCTCCCTGGTGGAGTTTTAAAACAGGAGGAGCAGGGACAGGCCCAGGTCCAGGGGGCCGTCTCTCGGCAAGGCACAGCCTGGGGCAGTCGCAGAGCAGCCCATACTGAAGGCTCCACAGGGGAAAGCGGGACCCTAGTCTGCACAGGATGGGGATGGAGCCAGTGAGGTCTCACGATGTTGTCCCTGCCAGCTGGAACCGGAGGAGTCGGTTTTTTTTTTCTTATATTGGCTCCTCCTGCTCTTCCCGCTTTCTGCCATATGACTCTGGCAATAATAAAGGTTATCTTGTCACATTTTATGTGTTTATTTTTGAGATGGGATTCTACTACGTTGCCCAAGCTAATCTCAAACTACTGACCAGAAGAGATCTTCCTGCCTCAGCTTCCCAGGAAGCTGGGAATACAGGCTCACACCACTGTGCCCAGCTGGGGTGTTTTATTTATTCTGAGCTTTGGGTACTGGTGTTGGAACCCAGGGCCTCACATGCTCGCAAGGCTTCCACCCCTGAGCTGAAAAGGCCTTGAAGTCAGTGGCGGCCTGGGCACAGCTGCTGACCCTGCTCTGCCCTGGGCCAGGCCCCTCCTGCCCTCCCTAGTGGCAGCTCTGAGTCTGTCCTGGCCCCCGGTGCTCCTTGAGGAGAAAAGCACTGGGCGGGCAGGCAGCCAGCGCTCCTGGAGGGGACACCTTCCAGGTGAGCGGCAGGGCTGAGTCTGGGGTGAAGGAGAGGGGATCCCAGGACAGGAAGGGTGGGTAAGGCTGCCCAGGGGCCTGAGCTGGAAGGGACAGAGGGACGGGGGCAGGGTCTCGCCTGTGCCTGGCCCAGAACA